TGTACACTGTAGCGTTGAGATCCTGGCCAACCACAACTCTTTCTTCGCCTCATTCGTTTATGCCCATAATGAGGCATATCCTAGAAAGCCTCTTTGGAATAATCTGATTCATAGAGCCCAATCACTATGTCATAGTCCTTGGATTGTTCTTGGGGACTTTAACGTTATCAAATCCTTCTCTGAGCAAACCGAAAGTTGCAGCATTAGAGACAAAGGCTCAGGAGATTTTTGTAACTGTCTTATCAAGGCTGAACTGGAGGACCTCAAGTACTCTGACATTCAATATACCTGGTGTAACGGGCAGTTTGATGGGGGCATTATTGCTTGCAAACTTGACAGAATGTTAGTAAATGAGGTATGGGGGAAAACTTTTCTTGCCTTAGAGGCTGAGTTCCTTACCCCTGGAGTTTCTGATCATTCTATTGCGCTGGTAAGACTGGGAGCTGGACTTCCTAAGGTGAGGAGGCCCTTCAAATTCTTTGACTTTTGGGCGAAACATCAAGATTTTTTTCCCACTGTTTTGAGAGTTTGGAATACTCCACTGACGGGTACTCCAATGTTCAAAGTATGTCAAAAATTGAAGTTACTGAAGAAAGAGCAGAAAGAGCTAAATAAGAGGAATTATAGTGATCTTTCTGATAAAGTTCTGGATGCCAAGTGAGCTCTTGAAGATATTCAAAAACTGACTGATAGAAATCCAAATAACCAAGCTCTTTGGATCATCGAGAAAGTGAAGCTCCAGCAGTACATAGAGCTTAGAGAAGCAGAGGAGAGCTTCCTAAAGCAAAAATCAAGGATCCAATGGCTAAACCTTGGTGATCAAAATTCTGGTTTCTTCTTTAAATCCATAAGCAAGCAGAGAATCCACAGGAGGCTCACTGGTATTCAAAAAGAAGATGGAACTAGAACTGATGATTTGGAAGACATCAAGAAGGAGGTGGTCCAGTCTAACAAATTGTTGCTTGGCTTTCCCTCTCCCCCATTTGCTTTGAACATGCAATGGGTAAGAAGTTTCATCAGTAACAGCATCACACAAGCACAAGCAGACTCTATGGTGCCGAATGTCATATGAGAAGAAGTCAAACAAACCATGTTCTCTATGAAAGATGGCAATGCCCCTGGTCCTGATGGCTACCCAGCTAGTTTTTTTAAGAAGGCTTGGCATATTGTTGGGAACGAAATAACAGATGTCGTCCTCTCTTTTTTTAGTTCTGGGACATTATTGAAAGAGTTGAACTCTACCATTATTGCCCTTGTCCCAAAAGTCCCCAATCCCGTAAATTTATCTGACTATAGACCTATATCATGCTGCTCAACCATCTACAAGTGTATCTCGAAGATTATAGCTAACAGAATTAAAGTGGTTCTCCCCGAGCTTATTGATAAATCTCAATCTGCATTCATTAAAAATAGAAACATTTCAGATAACATGTTACTTTCCCAAGAACTCCTCAGGAACTATCACTCTAATAGAGGCAGCCCAAGATGTACTGTGAAAGTTGATATCATGAAAGCATTTGATAATGTTAGATGGGATTTTATCCTTGCTATTCTTTGCCATATGGGATTTCCTATGGAAGTCATTGGGTGGATTGAGGCAAGCATTACTTCTCCTATGTATTCAGTTAGCATTAATGGTGAACTTAATGGATATTTTGCAGGTAGAAAAGAACTTAGACAAGGGGATTCATTGTCCCCTTACCTCTTTGTTATCCTTATGGAAGCTTTCTCTGGTCTAATGAAGATGGCTACTCAACTGGGTCAGTTTACTTATCATTGGAGATGTAGTATGCAGGGAATCTCTCATCTTTGTTTTGCTGATGACCTTATGATTTTCAGCAAAGGAAAAATTGAGTCAATTAGAGCCATCAAAGAGGTGTTGCTGGCTTTTGAAGAGTTCTCTGGACTAAAGTCAAACCCTAATAAAAGCCACATTTTTTTTCCTGGAGTCAATGATGCTATAAAATTTGACATTCTTCAAGAACTGGGATATAGTGAAGGAGATTTTCCAATTCGATATCTTCGGGTGCCACTTATAACTACTAAGCTTAGGGCCATTGATTGTGAAGTTCTTGTTGAAAAAATCACTGGCAGAGTGAATTCATGGAGTTGCAAATTTCTATCATATGCTAGTAGAGTCCAATTGATTACTTCTATCCTCTTCTCTATCCAAATTTATTTGTCTTCTATTTTCATAATTCCGAAGAAGGTAATAACCAAAGTTGGTCAGGAACTGAGCTCAAGGCCAGTGGGACAAAGGTTGCTTGGCAAAATGTCTGCTTGCCTAAAAGTGAGGGAAGGCTTGGATAAAGAACATGGAGCATTGGAACAAGGCTGCAGTCATGACATTTATCTGGAACATCGTTTCTAATTATCCTCATTCTCTATGGGTGAAGTTGGCTGAGTCTTACCTTCTGAGAGGACGAAGTTTCTGGAGTGTCAAAATTCCACAAAACTCCTCATGGGCTTGGAGAAAAATTCTCAGGCTCAGAACTAAATTTCTCCCACTTATCAAGTTCATCATAGGAAATGGGAGATCAACTTACCTCTGGTTTGACCCTTGGCATCCTTTGGGTCTTCTCCATCAATTCATTGGAGAGACAACTATTGATCATTCTGGGTTGGGTAGGAATGCTAAAGTCAGCAGCATTATTATCAATGGTGATTGGTCCTAGCCAATTATCCCTAATGGTGCTTTTCTTCAGCTGCAGAGTGAAACCCCCCCTTGCTTTAAGCCTAACTTGAGTGTGGAGGGTCATGTGCAATGGATTCCTTCAAACACTTTCCATTACAATGTTAAATCTACTTGGGAAGCCCTTAGAGATAAAGGACAATTTCAAGAATGGTCCAAGGTGGTCTGGTACTCGGGTGCTATACCCCGTTACAGTTTTATTCTCTGGTTAGCAGTGTAGCAAAGATTGGCTACCAAGGATAAGCTCTTTAATTATGGCCTTTTGCAATCAACGCAATGCGTCTTGTGTAGGATTGCCATTGAAACCTATGAGCACCTTTTCTTCCAGTGTTCTTTTACTTTAAGAATATGGACTTCTATGCAAGTGAAATGTAATCTTCAATGGCCTCACTTGAGTTGGCCTGGAATTGTCCAATGGTGTGCCACAAACTTATATGGTAAGAGCCTGCAAAAGCTTATAGGTAAATTGATTCTCTCATCTTCTGTATATATTGTGTGGAAAGAAAGGAATTTTTGGTTATTTAGAAACTCCTTCAAAGATGTTGGTACTGTGTACAAAGAGGTAATCGATAACATCAAGCTCAAACTTCATCCAAGCAGAGGATATCAGAGATCTCCCTCAAATTTATGGCTTCAAAGAGAATGGGATCTTCTAGAGACTATATTTGAACCCCCTTGAACTATTTTGTATTTCTACATCAAACTTTGGATGCCTGCTTTTCTACTCTATTCTGTATCGTGACATACTCTGTTGTTCTGAATGTTAATCTCCTGATTGCTGCTTTTCTGTGGATGAGCTGCTACTGCTCTGGGCTTAGCTGGAGTCCTGGTCTTCCTGTGAGGCTTCTTGTTTATTATGGGTGCCTCTTGATGTTTTCTTTCTTGCTGATGCTTGGACTGGAGGATCCTTATTTTGGGCATTCAAGGAAGAAAGTGCAATTTTCTGATTATTGTTGATGGTAACGCTTAAGGCTGCTGGTGTCACTGGTTTGCTGATTGCTTCCTCCTTTCTTTCTTTTATGGATGGTGTTTGCTCATACTTTACTCATCTTGAAGCTCAGATAAGGTTCTGTTTTATAAATTTTTTGTTCAGTCCTTTTGGATTTGTATTCTTTGTATTTTTTGCTGTTGGGATGGTTGATCTTCTTCTCCCCTGTTAAGAAGATTAGTCATCCCATGGTATCACCTGTACATTTTCTTTGATTTTTAATGATTTCATCTTACTTACCGAAAAAAAAAACATAATATAATGATTTTTAAGAAATCACATGATATGGATACTTACTCAATCCCTTCAATCTTCACCATCTGTAGAATTTAAGTGTAGCCTACAGTTTCTAAGTACTTGCAAACCGGTCACTTACCAAATGCTTTAGGGGATTCTCTTTTATTTTTTCGGTTATCAAACGATATGTCTTTGATGTCATCAACATCCACAATATCATGTGGGTGATCTGATGTTGCAGACTTTTTTTCCTTTGCATTTGTTGTCTGCTTGTGTGATTCCTTTGTTTGGAAACCTTTTCATTTCTCCACTTCTTCTTGTTGGTTTTTTTTTATAGAATCTAGTTTGTATATGTGATCCGGATGATGACCCGACCCGAAGTAATGTTGTGTGATTTTTTAATGAAAAATTTTCTGAGGCTTAGTCTATGGAAAATTTTTTGGGCCCGTTATACAGCCCAGTGTGTAAGACATATAAACTCTGTTATTTTGGTGATTAAAGTTAATCATGGATTGTACAGCCGCTCTCTGTATTCAACTCTCTCAATAGTGAAATCCCTGCAACTTCGTGGACATAGACAAATTGCCGAACTACGTAAAATCTGTGTCTTGTTTTTTCTTGTTTCTTATTACTTTATATTCTTGATTTGTTCTTCGATTGTGTGTGTTTGTTAGTGGATTTAAATTGTTGTTAAATCCCAGCACTTCTGTTTTTCCTTGAATATTCAGTCTTCATCTCTTTTCCTTTTCCTTTTGTTCTTTATTTCTCTCACCATGAATGTCTGTTTGTTGGTATCGTCTTTATCTATTTTCAAACGAGAAGGTGACGAATCCTGTACTGATTTACTACACTGCTCTGTAATTCCATGAACTATCATTTCTTCTATTTGGCAATGCATCGTTTGATTTTACTATTTTAATATCTCCAATCTTTCTTTCAAAGTATTCATCTCTTCCATTTTTGTTTCCTTGTCTTGCTCCAGGAGTGCCATCTTTGTTGCCATGTCACGTAGCTCGGTGTCCCTTCCATTCAGTTTCAATTTCATTTCTAATAGCTCTGACTACAACTCAGCGGTTGCTGCAGTCACATATCGACTTGTGTTGCTGCATCCCTTTTAGATTTTCCAAGTTCCATTTGCTCCTTGAGTTTATCATTCTCAACACCTTGCTCTGATATAAGTTTCAAATGATTGACTTTCTCAGATAGAAGTTGTATTTCTTCTTGGTGACCACATTCGTCTATTTTGTCTGTGTGTGTTGACACCACATTCATGTGAATAGGCGATCTGTGCATGAAAATTGCATCAAACAATGCACCCATCGGCTCAATCAACTGATCAATATCTCTTCTCCTGTATGAATTCATCCTCAACACTCACACATGTGGTATCTTCCACATCAACAGATATGTCGGTCTATGTGCCTTGTTCTTTTGTCACAGTAACAACTCTGTTACTGTGTTGACTTTTGGCTATTCTTTCATCACCATGGCTAGTAATAGTGTCTTCTATGTTTCTGTCACCATAGTCATTGACATTGACATCTTCTTCAACTTTTGTCCCCATTTTTTGGACTTCTGATCATGTGGGATGCCTCGTTTCTGGTACACAACAACTGCTGTATGTTTGTTTTCTTAATAATGCACCTCAACTTTTCTACTTTTCGTTTTCTTCTTCGGGATTTGTTTCTCTAATTCCTCTTTTCTCATCCTTCCCTCAAGTACCTATCTTATAACACAGTAACAAAAGAAATTAGCATATGTTTATACTAATAATTTTAAATAAAAAAAGTGAGCCACGGTTGATACACATACCTCATTAGATTCTAGATGTTGTAGTGCTCCTTTTTTGATAGAAATGTTTAATTTCCCAAGGTTCCATTTGATTATCCTTGGAAATTCATCTACTTTGTCCGGTTCAATGATCCTTGCATGTTCACATAACCAACATTGCAATAAAACATTTTGTGTTAAAAAGCATGACAGTAACACCTTTCGATATATTACGATCCTAACCGGTAAGACAATAACACAACCAATGACATTTGTTGGGTTGCTTGCATTTTCTTTCAGAGATGATGAGAGTAAATTGTGTATAGATTGTGTCCATGCATGTGGTTTCATAATCTCCAAATCATCCACATAAGTAGCGTATGCCCATGCTATTGTTTGTCCCTTTGTACAAAGAAATATTGTTACCAATGTGTCTAAGAACAATAGCCTAGCAACATCCCTATGGTCATCAACACTTGACTCAGTGACAGACTCCACCAATCTCTAATGTATGATTGGTGTTGTTAGCCTTTTGACCTTTTGAAATCTCCAACACACCAATCCATTTTTTTTTGTTTTGTGCAGGTGGATTTGATACATCAATATCTTCTTTTCCATCCTCTATACCAAATATCAAACTAAAATCAGGTCATGCACATCAGAATCATTCTTCTTGCATGATTTTCTTCAATCTTGTTACTCATGGCTGCTTCAAACAACAACCAACTCTGTCTTTTACTCTTCCCTAAAGAATATTTCTTCCATGGTCTTTTGTCATAATCCATTGCTTTTGGATTATAGGGGTTTATTTTAAAACCCAAAACATAACCCCATCTTCCTCCACTAAGAATTTTTTTTTTATGACTTTATTTTAAAACCAGATTTGACTTTAGGTATTGTGATTTGATAGGAGGGGGAGCTTTAATACTATGAAAGTTTTGTTGGGTACAAATAATGCATTCTCTCAAATAGTACAAATATACCCCTATTATAAAAAACTTATATATAATCTCACACTACCTACCATAGAAAGTGATTAGGATAGGAGTAACAAGGTTTTATATTAATTCTTTTCAAACTTTAACTGAAAGAATGAGTTGGCCCATGCTAATTGTTTTTGTGGTGATTGTGATACTTGTGAAAATGCAAGGAAGGGAAAGGAGCCCAAAAACAAGAGGAATCCATTAGGTAACAAGAAGCAATGGCACATTTTGACCAACCTTAACTAATCTCAAACAAACACAATAAATTACTTTGCCACACAAAATGACTATTATATGCTAGGAAGTGGGGATGATCTTTTGTATACCAAACACTAATATAAAAGTAGGAGGACATCCAAAATTTGTTGAACTCATTACCCTCATCCAATTTTTCTTGGTTATTATACTCAGTGGTTCACTATCTCGTTCCATAGTAGGGGAAAAGGAAAGCAAAATTGTATTTGTTGCAGTAAACCTATTGTTTTATTTTCTATTTTATTTTCAACTGTTTGCTTAAAAAGTTGTTTTTGTATGTTTGCCAGCCAATATTGGATCTAGGTTAACCGTCATCTGATCTGTTTTGACATAGTTTCATGGAATTCGGTCAAATTATCTTATGGATCATAATATATACCAAGTCATATCCCCATTTGGTAAGAATAAAAAATATTCCATTTGAAAATATGAATGCTCCATATGTACTACTACAATCATTATTATCATTTTAAAATCTTTGGGTGCAATTTCTTTAAAATGAAGGATATTACGTTCTATTGTACAATAAACTAATCGGATCCAACCTCAACCAATATTCAAGAACGGAATCAGGATTTTATCTTGAGGGGGACCAACAATGAAATAGACAAAAAATTAATTCAATGAGATTATTAAACGGTCATTGTTAATAATAATTTTTTATTTACATAAAACCTATTAATTTAATTTTTATGCAATGTGATCGAAAAAAATAATTTTGAGCACAAAACTCAAAAATTGGATCATGCAATCACAAAAATTCATTTGTGACAATTTTATAATTCTCTTTTTTCTTATTTATAATCTAACTTTTTGTCTACAAATATATTATGGTGGCAAAAAAAATCACTTTTTTTTATCTACAGTTATTAAACTAATCAAACAAGTGTTTTCGTCAATACAAGTGATACTCATTCAAGTGATTACATCCTAAATGGTTACTAAATATTAAGTCATTGATCTTTTTGAATACACTAAGTGAGGAACTTAAATATTGGGTGTTTTGAAAAATTAGAGGTTAGCAATAATTGTTGTTTTAAAAATATAGGAGGGACAATGGAAATTTGGGAGGGGGGGGGGGGGGGGGGCATGGCCTACTCACAGTTTCGTCCCTGCCAATATCCCTATGGGAAATCAATATTCGAGGGACTTAGATGAGACTTATACACAACAGATCGGATTCAAACTGCAATCAAATCCATTGTCAATTGCTTTGACAAGTGAAGTATTACCGATCATAGTACATATGGTATTTAATAGTCAACGGGTTTTGGTGGGATGCATAACGTCATGGTAACCAAAATTGTGGTCTACTTGACTAATGATCAAACAAAACAAAGAGTAACTTCCTAATCTAAAAGGATCAAGCAAATTATTCTAAATGGTCGGTGCGAAAAAAAAAAAACCCTGGTAAAATTCACCAACCAAGAGACAATTAGGAGTGAAGAAGACTTCAACCACACTTCATGTCCAACTTGTAAAGAATTTTCCGACTATCATGCAGTATAGACGATCAAGAATGAATCATGATACTCAATATTAATTCAAGACTGGCGTACTAATGCTTCTAACTAATTTTGTTTCATCTTCACAAAAATTGAAAATTAGTTTTGAAATGGTCCATATTAAGATTGAAATTTTAGTCTGGCAAAGGACCACTTGCTTGACTCGTGGACATGGATTGTGATTGTGATAATTCTCGGTCATTGTAAAAAAAAGATAAAGAATTGATAAAAGAATATTAAGATTAACTACTTAGCCTGTTCCAAATTATTTTTAATTAGACTATTTTTTACCTGTAGAAAACAAAGCAATAAATTTATTTTTCATTTACCAGAGGATAGCAGATTAGTACTGGTAGTGAAAACCTTTCGAAATTTCAAATTTATTTGTTGGTTATTAGAAAACAAAAAATATCATACATTTATTACAAAATTTTTTGGATTCACATGCAAAAGAAGTTCAAATGTCAACCCACTTGTGCTTCTTAACCCACCAAAGCACTCTCTAGTAAGTAGTAAGGCTCTTTTTAGGTAAATACACTCTAGTACAGGTTGTATCTATTTCTTGGGTGCAAATTTTGACTTGAACTTCTCAACCTCTATGACATCAATTTGGAATGCTTTTGTCAACACATTATCTGGCACTGGCGGCATAGCCCCAAACAGAGTGATAGCAATGACTTGAGTACCAAGTAATTGACTGTTGAAACCGAAAACGACAGCAGCAGGAACCTTGTCATTGTTCTTCTGAAAGTGAACAAAACATCTTGGGAACACGAAGTTCTCACCCTTCATGCTGTGCTTGGAGATGAGGACATTGGTCGTGGTTTTAAATTCCACATCCAATTCACCTTCAAGCTCAAAAATCATTTCGGTCCCACGTGGGTTGGTGTGGGGTGGATTTAGGTCACCTGGGGCATAGTCAATACGTGCCATCGACACTTCCAAGTGTGTTAAGACCTGAGACTTGCATAACGTTGGCTAGAGTCACTCGAGAGCCAAATGTGTTGTTACTGAGTATTGGTTTGGCCAGTCGAGAAAAAAAAGAAATCTGAAGCATTGACTTTTTTTTTATTTTTTGGCAGACTAATCCATTTATTTTAATGCTTGTTTCATGCATATACACACATTATTCATTTTAAGAGCATCCCAATTTCCAGCTCTCATTCATAAGCGAAAGTAACCTCTTTCATTTATTATCCTATCTCGCAAAAAACCTTAGTCTGCCCTTAGGTTTCATTTAACCCATGTAAATGGGTTAAAATTGATTTTCTAAATTGGGTTGGGATAAAATACGAATGAGATTTTCGATGTAGTTTTTACTTACCAAATGTGGGATATATGAGCTCCACATATTTTTTTACCCTACAATCCAAACATATCCCAATTGTTCTGTTTGTCACAGTTAAAAGGATTCAGATAATCTCTATTACAATTTAAATCAATAGTATATCATTCATCGTTAATGGGAGAGTGACCTGCAAATAAATAGTGGGTTCTACTAGTATTAATGGCAGGTAATTTATCATTAAATAAAATTGAGAAAAAGTGTAATGGAGGGAATCTTAATTCCAATCAATATTATCATTGTAAATCAGTGAACAATGTTCTTTTTCAGAAGTCTAAACATTATATGGTGAAAAGCTACCTTTCGTTGTTGGTTATCAGCTTAGATGACCCTGAGAAGCATTCACTTTGGCACCGTGGAATAGTATAATAAATAAAATTGAATAGAATAAAATATTCATATCAAATCATAACGTTACGAAACGGTATCATATGATTTAAGATTGACTCGTAGACCTCTAGATCTCTAACGACTTGGCTTAGTTGCATAAGACCGCTTTTTGAGCAATTCACATTATAATAAATGGTGTTCTATACCTAACATTTCGTAATTATCAATTTTCAGTACTTCATATATTGTCTTTTGTTAAGTAACGGAATTCAAAAATTTCTAGAGAGACACAAAATTGGATTGCATGGATGGTGCTGGGCCTGGAGGAGTGGTGGGTGGGTGGATAATAGTCTGTCGGCCTTCTACCCAAACTTACTCCCAAACGATTCAGAAACAGTTGGTGAAGTAGCATTTGTAGTATATTGTATTGTTCACTTGTTTGTTTAGTCAACAAAGTACTAAAGCAGCTTAGATGATTTTATTTGTTGGGGACAAGTGTGTTTTTATCTAAGTCAGATAGTTGTACCAAAACAAGCTCAAAAGTCAATATTCGTGATAGGGTTATTCAATATTAATTGTATAGAGTAATGCTAGACAGACTTAAAACATACACTTAAAATACAGATTTGATGCTGTGGCTGCTGATGTGTACCAGCCATGTCATCCCAAAAAAAAAAAAATTAATTTTAAGATGAAATCACAGGATTAACGTTCCATCTTCCATCTTCCCTCCCCTTCCCTACGCCAAAACTCACCTACAGAACACACAGTCCAAAAGTTGATCGACCTAGCATCTCTTGTGGCAATATGTGCACCTGCAGAGCAAAAAAAAAAAACAGAGGGTGTTAGAAAAGCTTAGAGGTACTAAAGATGAGATATTTATGAGCTCTTTCGTCATCAATACCTTTGCATACTTTAGAATCTGTGATAGTCTTTCAGGGAAATGATCGAATGGAAAAAAAAAATATCTACTGTGACATAGATTTGGACTGCTGAGCAGTACCACACGCATGCAAACGAAATCCAAGAAAGCAAAAGAAAAATGAAAGGGAAATATTCTTCGTAAAAGCCCAGACTGCTATAGTTTAAAGGGAGAAATTCCGGCGGCACTCTGTATTCTGTGGGCGAGTTTTGGCGTAGGAAAGGGGAGGGTTTCAAGGAGGGAAGAGGGAAGAGAGAAGATGGAACGTTAAACCTAAGATTTCATCTTAAAATTAATTTTTTTTTTTGGGATGACATGGCTGGTACACATCAGCAGCCACATCATCAAATCTATATTTTAAGTTTATATTTTAAGTTTATCTAGCATTACTCAATTGTAAATTCTGTGGAATATGCCCTAGAGAATTGAGATTTCCATGTGATACTTTTCTAGACAATTGGTTTAAATAAAAGTTGCAATTCAACTGCTTGCAATGAAACCAAGAGCCACACACAGAACAGCTCTTGTTTCTCTCTATAGGTTCATGGTATGAGTGCGGGAATTTTGCGGTTTAATTCTCTCAAAAAGTAGCATATTATTCACAAGATTTAACATTTTTAAATTTTTTATGCCTATATCTCACTATTCACCCATTTTACCACGGTTCTCACATTGCACGTACAATTATGGTTATTTATTTCACATTGGTCGATTAATTATGGTGTTTCTGACATTTCATTTTAATTATAATTAATGATTTTTAAAAAAAAATTGTTATGCCTACCTTGGACCTAAAACTATAGTTATTACCTATTGGTACGTGCAATGTGATACCTTGGATCTAAAAATTGTTATGTCCGCTACTTTTTTGTTTTTATTTCTCATTCTATTTTTATTTTATTTTTAATTGTGTGCTTAATTAGTTATTGATGGTGTAAACCGAACCGTATGAATGATGAATCGTAATTATGGTTTGCAGTAATGGTGGTGTGATAAATACTTCTCTAGGGGCTAGGAGGATTCACACAGAAGAAGTATAATGGTTCATCAGCTCGGAAGTTCGGCTAGTTCACTCGTTAATCGAGACTCTTGCTCTTTACCTTTCAATAATTAGTACAAGAATACAATGACTAGTCTTTGCCTCTAGGATCCTCCCCTCTTCTTTGGGGGTGTTACATAGTATTTATAGGGCTGTTCTCTATTCAATGGGATCTTGACTGAGATTCTTGCCCTTATTTCGTGGGGTTCTCCTTATTTCTAGGAGAAGATCTTGGTTGGTTGAGATTAGATGCTTTGATTATAGCTTCCTAACGCTTCAAGAATCTCTTGTGGTTATCTAGCCATTGCCTTGCCTCAAATGACATTCAACTTTTTGCCTTCTGACTTCAGTTAGTATGATTGATCTTCCAGTCTGAGCTGAACTCCTGAGCTAAAACTTGGGATTTTACTTTAGGCATCATTAGTTGCCCCCCCCCCCCAGCCCTTGGTCCAAGTGAGCTTGGGCATGGGTTGAGTTGCTTTCGTATTGGATCAGGCCCGCCCCTAGCTGACCTTAGTCCGCATGTGAGATGCACGTGGGGGGGCTCTTTGACGGTATACAGAAATCATGGCTTCCTCGATTCCCGCACATATTTCAACCCATGTCACTCAAGTTTTAAATGCTCAGTCGGCTGCTCACAAAACGCTCAAAAAAAACTTCCTATTCATTTTCTACGCTGTTTACCTTTGTCTCCAGCTATTTCTTTGCGATTTATGGGCTTTCCTCCATGCAATTCTCTTATTATCTGCTCAAAACTGTGTTTTCTTGGTTCGACTCGAAGTCCTGCTTTGCTCATCTCTTCCAATTTTTTTTCTTAGCTGCTATTTGTTGCTCTCTTCCCTGTCTAGGTATGCTTCCTTTTGCCCCCTTTCTCTTTCTCTTGCTTTTCCTTACTTTGGATTTCTCGACTTCGAGGTGGCCATTATTTTTCTGGATTTTTTGGTTCTTTTTCTTTTGGAATCGCGATCGTTGCCTATCTCCTCTTCCCTGCTTTGTGGATTGGAACTCCATTGTGCGAATTCTTACTGTTTGGAGGTACAGTGCTAACCCTAGGATTATCAGGGGGTGTTTAGTTAGTATTCCTCCTTTTATAACTCTTTCAATCTGCCTTTCTCTCTACCAATCATGTATGCCTCCTCTGGAGCAACTATTTCCTCTGTTTCCCTCTTAGGAGATAGGTCTGCCGAAAGAGATTCTGATTTAGGGGATGTAGGTGACGAGATTGACAACTTTCCTAGGGTGGATTCTGCTGAGGTAGAGGTGAAAACCGAGGAGACCCCCTCCACCTCTTCTCCCATGCCTGATAGACCTGATAAGGGCAAGGGTAAAGTGAGTGGTGTGGGAGTCACTAGTTCAGGCACAGGGGCTGCCTTTAGGAATGCTAAACTTGTAGGTCCCAGCGGACTTACTCTTGTTGACCTAAAAGTTCTGAGTGCTTGCTTTCGTTTCTCCCCAGAGGTTTAGCCCTGGAGTTTTGATAAGTATACCATATATGTTCACCATGTCCATAAGAAGGTCTGTTTCTTCTTGGCAGCTTTTGATAACGGTCTTCGCTTCCCCATTCATCCTTTTATCAAAGGTGTCCTTTAACATTTCAATGTCTGCCCTGCCCAGTTCTCCCCCAACTTCTGGGGTGTTCTTATAGGTTTACTAGTCTTCTTTAAGAGCCATAAGCTTGAGGTCCATTCTGTTTCCTTACTTATAGAGCTGTTCAATGTTAAGCAGACCTCTTCTGACGGTTTTCTGTATATTTTCAAGAGGGCTAAGGCAAAACAATTCGTCTCTGACCTCCCCAGCTCTCATAAGGGCTGGAAGAAATAATTTTTCTTTGTAAGCGGTACACAGTGGGAGTTCAATTTAGAGGATAAAACTGACACCCTCCCCATCCCTACAAAGTGGTCTGCTCCCGACAATTTGGGTATATTTTTGCCCAGACCGTATTTAACCCAAGCCTAACTGCTTTACTAACTTATTTCTTGTCTTCTTTGGTTTTCTAGGTGTCTGACTTGAGCTCAGCACTGAAGAAGAGCAGGTATTGCGGAAGTTGAAAAAGTGAAAACCAGAGAAATATTCTAAGCTCATCCAACCTTGGGCTCTCGTAGAACACGGGTTCTACCTTCCTGAGGTGAGGGTTGAAGCTCCCCTTCCACTTTTTGTTGCTGCCCCATCTCGCTTTCTACCGAAGATTTATCAGGTAACACTTTTTCTATGTACCTACTCTCCTCTTTTCTCTATCTAAGGGTGAGGCTTAGCTGTTCTTAGGTCCTATAGGTTCATCCTCAATGGAGCCTACTGCC